CAGAATCTTCCTCGTTTGACGACAAATCAGCCTCCTTAGACGAACGTGGAACGTCCGGCCGTTGAGGAATACTTATTTTGAGAGGGCTAAAACTTTGCGAGCGTGTTGCCACAGCTGGCTGGGGATCATGAAACTTCTGGAATTCTGGAGCAAGAGTATCACTTCGTTTCGGGGAATGGAAGCATTCACTTCGGATCGAGTCTCCACTAGCATGTTGCTGTCGCAATAGATCCGTTGATGGCACTTCATATGAGACATTCTGACACCTTTCTTGATCGGGTCCCTGTCGTATTTCAGTCTGCACTCGTTGAACTCCTGCTCGAGAAGCCATAGGCTCAAAAATCTCCAAATTCAAGATTTCTTGAGCTTTCGTTAATTCATTTTCACTTGTATCCGATCTGCATGGAGAGACACATAGACCACGTCTTACGGCGAACTGAGCGTGATAATATGGCGGCAGTAAATGTTCCTGGAAAAAAAATAAGGATCATTATGTCTAATGATACATTTTCTGAAATTCTGGACCCGCATCCTATTCCTCAGTTTCTCATAAGGTCTAATGTATTTCACAGAATTTTATATACTAGTTAATGCATGCCCGTAGGAAATAGACACTCGCCAAAAAAATGAAAATCTACCATGTCAAAGGGTCACAGTTAGAAATTCAGCCCCTTCAAGAAGACGAAGAAGGCACACTTATTGTAAGAATCGACTAAAGCTTACGGAACGAAACCCGACACAGTGATATGAGACCATATAAATATGTATAACTATATAATGTACCTGCATTCTTGCTCTTGGAATGCCTTCTGGTATTACAGTTGGTTCCACCATGATCGGAGGTAGTTCGGGCAGAAACATGAGATCACTGGAAGATGTCCGTTTCTTTGCAGCAATCTTGTCCTTTTCAGCGAGAGCCTTCTTCGCAATGCGTTGTTCGTTCATTAGATAGACATATCGCATTGCTCTCATCTCCTCCTCCATTAACTCTGCAGGATGCCTTTGGTGACTAGCAACTCGTTCCGACTCCTCATGCACACTGTGCTGCTTTTGTATTGGGTACTGGTTATGTGAATGCTGCTCCAAAGTTACTTGATCATGATGAAAACGCCGTGGTTGCGGAGGCGGGGCGGTATGCGTCGGCAGATGATAATCACTAGGAGCTTCAAGTATTTCTGATAAACCATAACGCTGATCTCGAAGTGCAACCTTCAAGAGGTTTGTTGGTAAACTGTTGGCTCTGTTGAAGAGGACGCCGAAACTGCTGCTGTAGGCTGGTCAAATCACGAGCCGCATAAACATCTTTCTGTGCCCTGACCTCTAGCCACGTCCTATCAGTGCCACCAGATCTTTCGCTGTAAGGATCCTTATGTTGCTTTTGCTGCTGCAACTCGATGTACTGCACACTGTCATTTCGTTGAGTTTGACAGCGCTGAAGAGGAAACGTATGGGGAGGTGGTGCTTGCTGATGAAATTGAGAAGGTTGAGTCGCAGCAAGGCTACCGATATTAGGTGCAACTGGACCTGATGCCGCGCTTACTACTGCAGGCTGAAGGGCGGGATCAGAGTGATGTGATGTAATATGATGCGTATTCTCAAACACTGTTTGGATTTTTAGCTGTGGTGATTCTGGACGAGTAACTGCCGTGTGTGATAACCACGCGGGGAAAATCTGCTCGTGTCTTGGCTCATAGGTAAATGTCTTAGGTTTGAATGACGCCAGATTATGGAACTCGGCAGTCGGAATTATGGAAGAAGGCTGCTGTTGGTGCATTAGCGGTTGCTCATATTGAGACTGTTGTTGCATCATTTCTTGATAACTTCTTTCAGATTCTTCATGGAAATGTACTAATTCTTCGTCGTCCGCTGAATAATCTTCGTCATACAAGTTCTCTTCTCCAGACTGGCGAACTTCCACACCTGCAGTAGCACCTACAGCTCGACCTTGATGGCTTTTCCTTGTCGCTAAAGGGATTTCTTCATTACTTTTTTCAGTTCTCGACGATATAATCACGCTGATTGGCATTCCGCCACATATTTCTGTAGGCATAGCCGTCGTTCTCGACATCGTTTGTTGTTCAGAAGCACAATCACCGCCCAGCTCAACTCTAGGTATATTCTGCATAGCCGATCCTTCTGCTGCAGAACCAGCTAGCACCTTTCCCGCCACTTCCGTTTGGCAGCACTCGATATGCCTACTGAGGCTGAAGTCTTGTGAGTCGACCAGGATGGGAGAATTGACTGCTTCTACAAGAGAAGACGAGTTGCCAGCAACACTGTCGGACTTTTCAGCGCTCCCAAGAGCTTGTCGAGAAACTGAGGGAGATGTATGTTCAGATTTTCTCTCCTCACTATGGTCTTTGAAAGGAACCAAATTTCCCATTGTTTCCGGTTCACTGTTCATGCCGGAATCTAAATGCTCATGCTCCGATAACTGCGAGAGAGCAGCCAGTTCGTTTGACAACTTCTGTATGTCTCCATCACGGTCACTTGATCTGCATTCGGCTTGATCCTCTTCCAAATCAATAACTGTTCTTTGATCGGTATCAGAACTCTCCGATGTCAGTTTTGTAGCCGAACGGAAACGCTGACGTAACACTCTTGAAGGTGAAGCTCCCTTTAACATTAAGCCAGCTTGCTGCTCATCGATCTCCTCCTTTACTGCACAGCTGTCATCTTCTGAAAGTAGTTCAGGCGAAGACGTCAGAAACGCTACCGTGGCATCATCGGCGTCATTGTCGTTCTTTGACGCCACTGGCAGAATGACGCCATACGTTGGGCTCTTAATTCCAAGCGGCTCCCACAGTTCTTGCGAGCCAGAAGGCTGCCGCGACTTCTTTTGATAAACCACTGCTTTGGAGTTTTCCGAACATGGGAGACTCAACAGCTGTTGCTCCTCTAGAACAGACTCTGCGGTAGCACGACTTACAACACTGGGCTCCATATGGATTCGTTTCATTATAGGGTCAAACGGAACTGCTTCGCTACGAAAAGTGTCGCTCTCCACAGAAGTTCCTCGAGCCAAAACACTGCTATGTGTTGCCAGCGTCGTGGGCTGTGTAGAAATTTCTGATTGTGAGTATGTCCATGGAGATGCTGCGAGTACAGTAGGTATTTGAGGAAGTCGTGGTAGAGCCAGATCTGGTACCATCACAGCACGCTCAGATGGTTGCCCCACAAGAACGGTCGAGTTGACGACTTCATCATCAGGCGACATTGCATCAATAATTGCAGGCTCAGATGAGAAATGAGTTGATAGGTGAGCGGTGGAGGGTGATGGCGATGGGGTCGAGATGCCATGAGCCACATCGGTGAATGCACTTTTTGCAGATGATTGCCTGGCATGGAGGTAAGCACGAGTTTCTGGACGAGTTCGTGCGTTCTCACTGACAACTCGGCGTGAGAGTTCCTTCGAGGATTTGTTAACAGCCGAAGAAGACTCTGAAAAAGCTTCGATAAGGTGGAACAAGAGGAACTCGCATTCTCCGATTTCATTTGCATTCGAAATCCAAGCCAATGCAAATCTCACCTGACTGGTGACTATTTTCAGATGTCACATTTAAGCGAAGCGGTTCTACAACAGGGAGGATGCGAGATCGCAGAGCTGGAGAAGGAGGTTCATCGAGTTCCCGCCTGTAAAGGAATGGCATCATCAACATCACTAGAAACTATTAGGTACCGGATATCTTAATGTCGTTTTTTCACCAAGAGTTTGGACCAGCAATATTTCAGTTCAAAACCCGGGAGCGAATTAGTTTAATCATAAAATGACTTACTAGGATCCCCTCATCTAACAGTTTGAGTGGAAACCTTGCACGATCCAAGCTCGGAATTTTTTGAGTTAAAAAGGAGAGGCAGGTCGGTTTTGACATCCTCTGATAAATCATCCCTCTTACTTGCTAAAAGTAAGGCCTGGACAAAGTAAGTATACAGCTTAGTTAGAGTAGGGTCTGCATTGTACGACAGAAAAATTAGAACTTATCAGCTCAACTGGGCAGTTTTTTACGGAGACTTTTTTGCAACATAGGGTCAAAAACGCACCCTTTTTGAGCGCGCGTGAGAGGCAGGTGAGCACATTTATCAGAATATCTTGCGGAATCAAATTCATAGGAATGTTTGTGCATCATCGATCCATCACTGTGAAGGTGTCCTACCATTTCAGCACAAGACTGGTGCAGCCCCGTCTCGACTGATTAACTAGGGCCATCCTTTTTGAAGACGATTGCGGCATCCTTTCAAAAACTTCACTGTCTTTTAAGAAAACTGTGGAAAAACCGATGAGCATTCCAAACGGTAGTATTCCCTCCAACAAATGCAATGTTGGTTTGGTTGGCGGATCTGTAGCTCCCAGCCCGACTTTGATGGCATTTGGTACACACATACGAATTTGCGCAATGAACCCAGGAATTTTCAGAAAAAGGTATAAAAATTGGGTAACAATAGGGACTAATAAGCAACATATTACGTAGTATTAATAAGCAAAAAGAACGTTCTGAGATATTGATTTTCCATAGGTAATCGGCCCCAAAACTTCCTGAACTCAGAAAAGCGACACTAAGATATCCGGTACCTAATACTTAATATATTCAACATGAAAATCGGTTGATGCAAGAAAAATAAAACAACGACTACATAAAATAATCATCATTCACCAGATAACCCACTATGATAATTCAGTAGATGAGAAAAGTAAACCATTGAAAAAAAATCGAAATCTTCAGAAGAAAAAGGAAAAAATGAGAAGCCCCCTAACCTTCTCGATTTCCTACGACTTTTCTTTCTAACTTTGCGTCTAGTTTGCTCATCAGGTGATTGCCTTTCCGCATCGACTAGAACACCGGGAGAAAGACGTGATGGAAAATCCTCGCCGCCGTCACTGCTTTCAGAGTCCTGAAAAAAAAACCATTGTGAAACCATAAAATTCTGAAGACATTAGACAGCAGGAAAATCGTTTTCAAAATAATTCCTGAGGAGATATTAACGGACATGTGATGCCTAAACCAGAACTCGTCCAACAACTTTTTGGTCTCAGATTTCGGCGGTTTTCGTATGTATGGAACAACTGCACCGAAGGTCCACACTTAAGACACCCCAAGTATAAATTCGACAGTTTTCCAAGCTACACTCACTAACAGAAAAGGATTCCTGAGAAGGCAACACATTTATCGACTTAATGTCCACAAAGAAAAATCGGACAACCAAAGTGACAAAAAAAGACGCGCGCTACAGCACTTGATCAATCTCATCCCGGTTACTCCAGGGCTGATCGAGCAATGAATTTTTGTGCCATTCATTTTGGAAGGGTGATAATAGTGACAAAGTCTAAGCATATATAGCTAAGCCAAGCAAGAACGGTGTCACGAAATATAGTTGTGTATCCCGAAGCGATTTAATGAGCCATGATTCTAAATAACTGTGCACGATTGTGCCTCCTTATCGACTTAAATGTCATGGTTGTGTCGGTTACCAAAAACAAGGGTGTTGACAAACCCCACGAAATCATCAATAAGTAAATACAATTGTGTTGACAATTCCAACTTTCACTACTTCTAGAAGATTCAGTTTTCCACAATCATTATTTTAATTCTTGGCAATGGTTAAATTGACACTCTTGAGAATTTTCTTTCAGTCTCTTGAACTTGGGAGCGTGAAAACGATAATTGCTAATGAAGAAGAGTAGCAGATTCAGAGAGGATGTGAGGGCTCAACATCTGATACTCCGACGCGACTTCCCTTCTTTGCTCTTCAACATACGACCCCCTCAGCCCGTTGTAAACTATTAGTTTGGTGCAAGACTTGTAACGTATGCAACTTTTCCGAAAAACCTTGTTAATCCTTAATTCATTTGGTTATTCTACCGCACCTGATACATTGGGAGTAGGTGATAGAAAGCGGCGGAGACTATATTGCACAGCAGTGTCTGGGAATTATCCCCCTGTACATCAAGCGAGGAGGCATGGATCAAGTACAACCCGTAACAGCTGACTGGAGTTGAGATTACACAGTGGGCAGGCACGCGCACACTTAGTAGATGCCAAGCGTTTTTAAATGGGCGGTGCTTAATAAATAAAATTCATAACTCGATTAGAAAAAAGCCTGTAGCGGAAAAACCAGTTTAGGAGAGCAATTTCCATGGCGTCCCAAGCATACCCGAACTGAGTGAAGGTCCTCCCACAGTGGGCGATCCGTGTCCTTAAGTAAGCACCATTTACTACAGATCCTCATAATTCTGTTTAAAACGGTTCTAGAAAGTGGATAAAGGTTAGAGGAGGAATTCAAATTGTTAAGGTGGGGTTGGTGGCTGTGCCAACGAAATGGCAAGCTACCATCTAAAATTTATAATCGGTTAAAAGAAGTCATTGTTACGGAAGAATGGACTAGTCTGAACTAGTGAAATGGAGTTAACGCTGCTACTGGTTTGGGAGGAGTGAGTGCCTCCGAAACACTAATAGCTTCTGCTTTCGGGACTGTTTCGGACTGCTCACGATCAGAGACAGAGAAAAAGAGGATAGGGGTTGGCTCAAAAATGGAAATCAAATGTTTTCAGAAAGCGTTGAAGTGCATCAAAGTGGGCGGAGTCTGCAACGAAATTTACAATTCGGTCCCAAGACAGCCTAGAAAACGGGAAAGAAGTGCAGTTCGGCTAAGGAGGTCAAATGCTGTCGGGACGAGGCGTGTGCCGACAGTGGATACAGTGTGCTGGGAAGAAGTTACGGAATATCGATGGCCCTGCTTTATATCAATGCAGCCTAGAGTGGTGCCCGCCTATGCGTGCGCAGCCAAACGATGAATTAAGAGTTCAAATGAACTCCAGCAAAACTTATGCAACAACTTAATACGAAAGAACAAAGGAAGAAGTATTTGGCGTTGGTCAACTACATTCTAGAACCCACGTAGCCTACGTCTGTTCGGAATTGTATTCGTAATAACTTCGATGCCCACTTCTGCAATGCCTTCGCAAAAGCCAGTCGATATCAGGTTACTTCCATGCAAACAATTCGTGCTCATAAATGACGCATTGCCAATTAAACCGACCTCGTTCGCACGTCACCTAATAAATGTAAGTGATAGAATAGAATATAAGTCTCCCTGAAGCTACAGTGCGTTTCAAAAGTATGTGCACACCCTCAAAATTCACGTTTGAAAGGGAACCATGAGGTTTCGTGCTATGAAATCCTTCTCAATCGATTTCTCGTAGTCGATAACCTATCAATGGAAGCAAAGCAGATAATATCGCCTCACTTTCGGAAAAAATTTTTGGATGAAATTTTTTTCTTTGTTTCAAAAGTATGTGCACACTTAACAAAAGACAAAAACATAGCCGAGATTAGAAATCAGTGGGGCCTCCAGAGTTTCTAATTAGCTCAAGACATCCTGTCCGGCCCTCATAATCTGAAACGTTTCCACTTGTGTTTGGTCATAGGTTACCGTCGCTGTCGGCCCAAATAGCCTCTACCGCCGCCTTCAGTTCATCCGCGGTATTTACTGCCGGTTGCTAAAGTTACGCCTTGATCAAGGGCTCCCTATAGGGTTGCAGTAAGGAGGACACACAAGCCAATCTATCGCTTCAGCACCATTTGGTTAAGGCCATTCTTTGGTAGATTGCGAAGCATCGAAAGACACGTGGTCCTGTTGCGCTACTGACCAATTTTGTGGTTTTTTTTTGAACAACAACAAAAAGATACTTTGTACCTTCAAGCGATGTGAGTGAGAGTCTCCCAAGAAACTAGGTGAAATGAATTGTCTCGATGGTCCAGGGTCGTCGTCATGTGGCCAAAAACGATCGTCCAGGTATTGCGAAGTCCCTGAAGGGGAATCCCTCTTGTCTTCCAGCTGAAGTGCTGGGTCTAGTGTCTTTACGTCGATCTCTTTTTGCTTTCCTACGTCTGTGCTTTCGATGACCTTTCTGAATAGAAAAATCAAATAAATCAATGATGTAAACCCAACGATATTTTTTAAATGGAATGTAATTCAAAAGAACCTACGAGGCTAATTGTCAGCTTGATTGGCTCCTTGGTGATTGGGGGAGACATCAGCTTCGGAGAAAAAGGAAAGCTAAATGGTAAACATGCACAGTAGCAAAATACAAAACCCTTCAGGAGGGAAATAACCTTGGGTTTCTGCTGATATCAGGAGACTCAAGCCCTGAATGCCTCCCGGAATCGTCATCTGTAGATATGGAAGGACACAATTCGGGTGCGTTCCGTACATTGGTCTGGCAAAACATTGTCTCGCTCGAAGCAACATCCCGCCTACCGTGCTGAACGTAAACCAGATAACCAAAAAGATTTTGGTAGACTCGCAGTCGTCTTCATTATCTGACAATAACCAAAAAAGTTCGCTGTGAATTCACCATCGAAATTTTTCATCAAACTTGAACATAAATTCATGTTGAGATAATTCGTGCCCTGATCACGAGTACATTATTCGGTCTCAGCATTGGAGCAATTAAGTGCTAACATAACACATTTTGATGACACTGCTCTTATGTATTGTAAACAGATAGACTACAGAAGACTTTCACAAAAGGATACATGGACCCTTGAAAACTATTCAGATTTTGAACGTTCCTTCTCCATCTAATGGAACGCTTTTGCCCATTTGACAATTTGATCTTATTTTGGAGGGTGTGGGTACTTAGGACAGAACGCGACTTTTTCGCTCTTCGCAACGCGACATCGCGCGGCAGGCTGGCGCACCCGTAGCGAAAACAACTACGGTATATAAGAACGCGCGATTGGAGCAGCTTTTTTGCATGCGTGAATTTGTAAGTTTCTGATTCCTTACTTGCCCGCGCTCACACCCATTGTATTGATAAATGCGGTGAATCACTAATTCTGTCTCATTATTGAAAACGTTTTGTGACTTACACGATTCCGGGCGATGCCACTAAAATGGTGTTTTACGAATTATCGGTGAACGAGGGTTTAATAGTGTCGCTTGTGCTTGCATTTTGTGGGTTCATATTGTTGTATAGACTTCTGCATAAGGGTATAACATCTTTTACGAAACGCTTCTGTCCTCATTACGGATATGATACTCATTTTGGACGCTGGCGCCATTTGGGGCCAGGTGGCGCCACAACTGTTTCCCACTAAATTCGTTTTACGAATGGGAAAAATTAGTGTCATATTCATGATCAGGGCCCCAAATAACCCCTATGCAGAAGTTTACAGTCGTCTCATCAAACGTCCATCAACCATTCCTCTTCCAGGTTCTCCAGAAGCTCTACCATCCATCTCTGCAAAAATAACCTACCTCCCTCTTCACTGCTAGTTAGCGGTCCACTTCTGGTTACCATTTCCTCGTTCATTATCAAATCCATGGCTATTAAGCTTCAAACTCCTTGTCGCAATCAAAGCCGACACAAATATCGCGCTCCAATCGCGCGTTCTTATATACCGTAGTTGTTTTCGCTACGGGTGCGCCAGCCTGCCGCGCGATGTCGCGTTGCGAAGAGCGAAAAAGTCGCGTTCTGTCCTAAGTACCCACACCCTATTTGAGTGGGGGTGCTATATTACTATTCGCATTACTTCTTTGCTAGCCATACATACAACTTTTTTGAACTGCCATCGCTTCTACACCATTAACTGTACAAAAAAACTTTACAATAGCCCTTGTTAGCAACCAGGACCAGGGAAATGACCAACTGAAAGCTGGGAAGGGCGCTGGGAGTCCCAGCGCCCTTCCCAGCTTTCAGTTGGTCATTTATACATCGGAAGCGGCTTGCTTTTCCTTTGCTATATAGTTGTAGTAGTAGTATTGAGGGTAGAACCGAAGATCCTCTCCAACAACCACTGCTCAAGAAAATAGTGAAATGAGCAACAGCTCGAAAAAGTAATTGAAAACCATGAAGAAAAGAGCTCGCGTGAACAATATTACCTGACATTTGACGTGCTCGTCCATCGCATCGTGATAAACGATGTCAAAATGATGACCGCCTAGAAGTGTTATATCATTCTATTTCATGTCAGAATTTCAAAATTCGAGATCTCAGGTGTGATTTAAAACCTACGAATATCGTAACGGAACATTGTCTCAACGATTGAAGGCACGTAAACATGGCGTGACTGAAGCAACTGCTTCAAACTGGTGGAAGAAACTATTCCAGTCGCCGCCCTGAAAAAAAAAGAATACGCTACCAAGGACTGATTTTATTTTGATTTGGTTGGTAGTTTGGATTGGTTTTAGGCAGACTGTATAATAGGAATGGGCCTGCTAAAAAAAACGGAATCTCAGCCTTGAAAGGGGCATGCGCTGGGCCCCAGCCTGCAGGAATTCTAATTTTGACAAGATGAGATCCCCTGTGTGTGCAAACCACTGCGTTTCCGCTTTTACAGCCACCTCGGAGCTTTTCCTTGCCAAGACCTGGATTACTTTATGCGACATGAACTGTCGCGCCAAGTACCTCCCGTACTAGACGAGACCCAAAAAGCTGGAAATCACAGCCAATCTAAACACTTTCGCAACCTTGACAAATTTCCACTCAAACAGTTGCTTTGATCCGATTAGTTGCCACTCGTAAAACATTGCCTTTTTTTTCAGATGCGATCAATGGTGAGGATTCCCATACTCTTATATCATTCTAAATACAAGAAGGACTCCGTCCACGAAGGTACAGAACTTTGTAATCATAGACTTGTCCGGTAGTCTATCAGGGCTGCACCAACAAAACAGCTGAATAAAAAAGTGCAATACAGGAACATCGACTCCCAAAAAGGTCGTAGGTCATTAGTCTCGCACTATTGGTGTTCTCTTCATGAATACAATAACAATATACAAGAAGTGACGCAGGACAGGTTCAAAACCATTAACTCATTCGGTCCTGTTCATAATCTGCGTTTGGGAGAACTAAATCCGTTTCCAAAGCAGAGGTGCATATAGATCAGAAGAATCGCCGAAATGGGAAACCGCAAAAATTACCCCATAATTATAGTCTGAATTGGGGGAAAAAAACAAGAGGACTAGATACCTGTATAGTCGCAAAACAGGAGCACTACAGAACTGCAAAGAGCAAGAGCTCGGGAACGCAAATGATTAGATGTCGGTGCTACATTACTCCATGGAGAGCCAAATTTTTTCAAATGAATCTTTCTCAACTGGTCCAGGAATCTTGCTGGGGTTGGAGAAGTTTCAAACACCATTTCGCAGCGCCCGCATTACATGAGCCCTTCCTTACGCAATCGGAATAACGTAATAACTTCGTAATTTGATTAAGAACTAACCTGAAGCTTGTCCATATGCTCAGCACTTTGAAGGAATAATCTTTCGCGACTACCAAGTCCAGCCTCTGCAAATACAAAAAAGCAGCCCGTGCAAATGTGTACTACGGGCAAACCGTAATAACTTACGCCCCTCGCCACTCAGGCCCTGTTCAGAGATGCTTGCGCGAAAAAACGCATAGGCGAAACAATGTGAAATATGTATCGACTGAACGAAGACGCACAGGCGAATCGTGAAGTGGGAGGATCGACGAAAATGAGTATCATACGCATCGACTTACGAACGCTTCGCTCACGCGATTTTCCGCCTGTGCGTTTCTCACAGTCGATACATATCAAACTCTTGACTGAAATTCGCCTGCTCCGGACGTTTCGCTTACGCGTTTCACAATTTCTCAGTCGATGCGTATCTAAATCTTGGCGGAGATTTTCGCCTGTGCGTTTTTTCGCGCCGGCGGACATCTCTGAACAGGGCCTCACTTTCCATTCCGATTTGTCTTGGAATGTAAGGGGTCGAAGGGGATACTTGACATGCATAATTACCTGTAATTTAGGACTCCAAGTAAACGTAACCACCGAAGGAAGTCACAAGGAGCCAAGATTTACAGACTTTTGGGCTTTTAGATCGAAGAACCTTCATGCTTGAAAAGTGCTTGCGATGAAGAGAAGCGTAACGGCCGAAAAAGAATGTAAAATTAGAGAGACTCCTCTGATGGGTCAATCGTCCTTTGTGTGAACATCAGTAAGGAGTGGGACGTATAATGTCAACGGGTCTCCTTATGCGCAAAGGATATATCGTCCTCCCGGTCAAGTGGGGTGACGATCAGTCCTCCTCCTA